GAGGGCAGGGAACAACTACAGGCAGACCTGGACAGGTTGGACATATGGGCCGAAAACAACAGAATGCAATTCAACAAGGAGAAATGCAAAGTGCTGCACCTGGGGAGGAAAAATGTCCAGCATACCTACTGCCTAGGAAATGACCTGCTTGGTGGCACGGAAGCGGAAAGGGATCTTGGAGTCCCAGTGGACTCCAAGATGAACATGAGTCGTCAGTGTGATGAAGGCATTAGAAAAGCTAATGGCACTTTATCGTGCATCAGCAGATGCATGACGAACAGATCCAAGGAGGTGATAATTCCGCCCTGTCGGGCGCTGGTCAGACCACAGTTGGAATACTGCATGCAATTTTGAGCATCGCACTTCAAGAGAGATGTGGATAACCTGGAGAGGGTCCAGAGAAGGGCCACTCGTATGGTTAAGGGCTTGCAGGCCAAGCCCTATGAGGAGAGACTAGGGCACCTGGACCTCTTCAGCCTCCGCAAGAGAAGGTTGAGAGGCGACCTTGTGGCTGCCTATAAGTTCATCACGGGGGCACAGAAGGGAATTGGTGAGGGTTTACTCATCAAGGTGCTCCTGGGGGTTACAAGAAATAATGGCCATAAGCTAGCAGAGAGCAGATTTAGATTGGACATTAGGAAGAACTTCACAGTTAGAGTGGCCAAGGTCTGGAATGGGCTCCCAAGGGAGGTGGTGCTCTCCCCTACCCTGGGGGTCTTCAAGAGGAGGTTAGATAGGCATCTAGCTGGGGTCATCTAAACCCAGCACTCTTTTCTGCCTATGCAGGGGGTCGGCCTCGATGATCTATTGAGGTCCCTTCCGACCCTAACATCTGTGAATCTATGGGTATTTCCCCCATTCAATTTTGGGAGGCTATGCTGTAAAGATACAATCTCTGCTCCAAAGAGCATACACTCTAAATATATTACATCAGACAACCAATAGAGTAAAACAGAAAGGAAGATCAGGATTTGGAGAAATGGTACGGTATAATAAGTAGCAGTAGAAGTAACTGCAGGATGTTGGGAAATCAATGAGTCTTCCAACCAAAAGGAAATGTAATATAGTGTATGTGACAGCTTGGATCATACTTAGTGAATGAGTAGAAACGCCTTTGTGTGAGGGTGAAAGTTCCTCAACTGTTTCTGGCCATGACTGAGGCATGGACCTAGGAGTGATTTTATTGATGTTTAATGCAGTGAATGCTGAGGGGGTATTGCTAGGTTGAAAACAAGATAATGTGTATAGCAGGCTTACCTTTTTGGGACTTGCGTTGAGTCCCAGGCTTGAGGGTCTGCTGTTTGATTGGTGGAGCCTGCTCACCAATCTGGAGGCAGCCCAAGGGAAGCAATGCCCCACCCTTTTCCGAAGGGAGGGGACAAGGAGCAGCTGGACCTGGATCGGAACTGCACCAACCAGATCTGGAGAACTTTGGGGGTGGAGTCCCTGAAGAGTATAAAAGGGAAGCATGCTCAGCACACTAGGGAGAGATGACAAGGGACAGCGAGGAGAGAGGAGCTCCAGAGACGGCTTTCTTCAGGATCCTGCTTGAGCTTTAGCGGTGTGCAAATTGGCGTACAGGGATCAGGCTCTAGGAGCCACTCGAGGCAGCTTGAGTCTGTGAACCTGGCAAATGGCTGGGCAGTCTGTGTGCAGATCGGCACATGGAGAGCTGGCCCTGGGAGCAGCTTGAGGCTGCTGGGGCCCCACACGGTGTACAGATCAGCACACAGAGAGCTGGCCCTGGGAGCACCTCGAGGCTGCTTGGGCCCCACGTGGTGTGCGGATCAGCACATGGAGAATCCACCCTGGGAGCAGCTTGTGGCTGCTCAGGCTTCACCTGGTGTGTGGGTCGGTGCACAGAGGACCTGCCTGGGAGCAGCTCGCGGCTGCTCAAGTTAGCCCTGGCCCTAGACTGAGCGACTGGAGCCCCGCAGCGCGGCTTCACCTTTAACTAAAAGAGCCCCGGTGCCCAGAGCAGGGCCTGGGAAAGGGAGGACCCCTGGTATGAGACCGGGGAACCAGAGCCTGTAAGAGTTAAGCTCCCATGAGAGAGAAAGAGCCCTGGGCTGCCCAGTGCTGGGTGCCAGGCCATTGAGGAGAGCCGAAGGCGCTGCTGGAGAGTGGCTCTTTCAGGATCGGCCTCCAGGGGATGAACCTTGGCTAGTTCAGAAATGAAGCGTGAGTTGATGGGGAAGCGGGCCCTGCAGGGAAGACAGGCACAGGACAAGAGGGTCTGTTGCCTCCACCCTCTATTGTGGGAGGGGTGTGTCCACATGCCAGGGCCCTAAAGGGAAGGGGCTCCAAAGAAACCTCTTGGGGAGGTACTGAGTGCACACCCTATTTAGGGTGATGGTTGTGTCAAGGTCTGTATAGCTATGGGTATTCTCTAAGGAAGTTTATATGGTTTATATGTTCTTAATGTGTTAATATGTATATTTGTATTGTTACTTGGTAGGTCTAGGAAATAGTATTAATTTATTTGGGTTATATAAGTTGATTCCCCATATGTGTTTATCGTGTTGTAACCTTAACTATCTTGTTCAATGTATTAATTATTATATATGTTATAAGTTATATGGTTTATGTGAATTGTGGGATATTATATGTAGTGTCATATGCTAAGCTTTATTGTAAATATTTCATGTTTTATCTTAAGTATTTATTATAGTAATAAATTGTATATAGTTAAGCACTCGGTCTCGGCCTGACTCTGTAGAGAGGTGAGGGAACTGCTCTAGTAGCCAGCCCCTCCATCAGCACCCTGCCTGACCCCCACCACTGTCATTGGAGGACAGGGCATACCCCCCTGAGTGTACCTGGGCTACATGTGGAAAGGATCATATGAGTGATTCTGAGGGAGTGTATCTGCTGCTGCAGCTCAAGTTAGCAAGTTGGTATGGAAGGTATCTTACCATGTTGTTTAGACAACCATATATCTGTAGTAACCTGGATGACTTTTTCTACTTCCATCTGGTCAGGAAGTTGTGACTATGTTTCTTTCTGATGTGGAGTTGGCTTTATACAATGCCTTCTAAGTCTATACTTTAACTCAATCTGGAAACTGAAGTTGATGCAGAAATTAGCAGAAGCATGTTGTAGCTTATTAGTAAGCAAGTGATCATGTGGGCTGAAGTTTCTATTGATCTTTCTAGGTTTCTGGATGGAATTTTAGGTGGTAAGTCTGTCCTGTGAAGCCTTTGTGATTTGAAATATGACTTGCCTCATAGATGTCTGTCTCAATATGCGATTTAGCACAGTTGGGATAAATGAAAGCCTATAAACTAGAGTACATGCTAGCAGAGAGTTCTTCATGAAGGCTCTTAGCCTTGGAATTACCTTCCACTTTGCTTCATCCTTCACCAGTATAGCCTGTGTGTGGTTAAGGAATGAAGCCCATCTATTTGTATAGGTGTTTGGCAAGGATGGAGGCTTGGGAAATTTGTGCATGGGTGTAAATTTTCATGTGGTGGGAGATGTATTTTGCAGAAGCTGATGTGGTTTTTGTCGTGTGGTTCCTTTTGTGTTCAGGCAGGGGTTGTCTTGTCATTTGGAATATATTTCAGTGATCTGTTGAGACAACAGTTTAGCCTTTTGGAAAAAAATGATAATCCTACAAACTAAATTACTGGGCAGAGTTTTCTATGGAGGTTTAATATGTTAGGAGCAATTGTGTCAGTATTTGTTCTTTCAGCTCTAGAATACATTGTTTTCATCTGTCACCTGTTTTATCTTCAAACAAAACCAATTACTAAGGCCATTCACAGACTGTTTTACTTCTTATATGCACAATAATATCAATTACACTAACTTTTTAGATGGTTACTGAAGAGATACAGTGTTACCCTAAGACTTGTTTTTTTTCTAGTTTCCCCAAATCAGGGCCACATAGCTGAACAATAAAAACAAACTCTTTGTGGGTTACTACTGAGAGAGGCAAAGATTTCTTAGGGTGATATCTTTTATTGGACCAAGCATGTAGCTGGGATAAAGTTAGATAAGCTTTTTGAGTGCAAGACGGTCTTCATCAGGTCTCTGATCATAGGAACCCAGACACAGCAGAAGGCAGGGCCGAGAGAAATTCTCAGGGGTAGCAGATAGGCAGTTAGCAGAAGAAAAGAAAATGATTACTGGGAGATCAAGGCCTATGGAAGAATGTCTTGTATTCCAAAGCTCGTCGTACTTTATCTGAACTGCATAGCTGGTCCATATGAAATCCCTGTCTTTTGCATAACTTCTGGACTATCATGGTTACAACATTGGTCTTATACTACTGGGTTAAGAGTGATATTTGGCTGTCATGGTGCCATGGACCTGTGTACATATTTAAGTTCTGGCCATCCAGGTCAGGGCAGTTGTCATCTCTTGGTTAGGGGTGGAAACTTATCCGTTGTAGGACTCTGAGAAAACAAAGAGAAGTAAAAGGAAAAAAAGAACATGGAAACAGAATAAAAACAAAATAACTAGTCCCAGAGAACTCACCTTCCCTCTACAGCCTTGAACAGTCTGCAGTGTGATGACACTTTTGCTAGTCAATTGGCAATGAACTCCTGAAAGTAATAGTTTGTAGTCCTGCCCACATCCACCTTCGGGACCTTGAGCATTCAATAAGGGTGCAAGTAGGCTCTGCACTTTGTCAGAAATTGCCCCAACAGTCTGTCCTGCTTTCTCTTGAGTTGGGGTTCTCCTTTGTTAAGTCTTTTTCCAATCTTCACATGCCTTCAGGGTATGGTGAAATGAAACTACTAGGCTCCAGAGGAACTCTCAACCCTCTTTTTGTGTGGTGCAGGGTTTGTACATATGGCCTGTGACTACATGCGATAGTATTTCAGCCAAAAATATGGAGCACATGCAGCTCGTGAGGGTTTAAGTAAGTTGTGGCCCTTGGGTCCCTGCCGAGCTCTTGCTGTCCTCACCATTGCTTCAGCAACACCAGACAGAATCTCTGGGTTCCCCCTCCTTCCTTTGACTTGCTGCTTGCTCCTGCCCCAGTTGGTGGGGCAGCTTAGTGCCGTGTGGCCCAGGGGGCTAAGGGTGAGCTTGGTGCCACATGGGCACATGGTGCAGCAGTGGGGGGTTTGTATGCACAGTGTGGGGGGGAGGGCAGGACATGTGGTGTGCAGCCTAGGGAGTCCACGGCTTTCCCTGGTACAGCCTGCAGTCATGTGGCCACCAGCCGCTAGGGAGCTGTACAGCCCTGAGGTAGATGATTTTAGTTTTGTTTTGTATAATTGCTCCATGCTGCCTATTCTTATCTTAATCCTTAGAACACTGATGTTTTTTGACTGCTAATCAAAATGCATAGGAGAAAGTGAGTGTGTATGTGCCTGTGTGTATGGGCACATATGCTCTGCATGGTATATTTCAGAGCCTTTATCACATTTACCTTTAACTTTTGCCTGCTTCAGCTGCACTCAATATAGTTGCTTCTATTCTACCTGCTAATCAGTCACTTGGGACTGCTCCTAGTGTTCCTCAATGCTCTTCAATTATGTTTTTTTAAATGCCACAAACATTTTTTTTTTCCATTTTCTCCTCTGATGTCGAGATAACCTGTAACCTCAGAAAAATTGCTCAGGTCAGGAGTAGGAGAGAGATTCAGTCCTGCAGTAATGACATATTTTTATTCTGTGGCTGTCCACACATTTTATGGAGTTATTCTTGAATAGTTGTCCCACTTTAGATTCAAGCCCTGCCTTACTCTGTATGAACATACAAGTGTAGATAAGCCCCAAATATGGTCTCTCCTTCACAGGGAGTTACTCCTGGTTAACTCCATGTATGGATAGCTATAGTAGAATAAATCAGGAATAGTTAATCATCAAGGATACTATATGTACATAAGCTTCAAAACAGGAGTTCACTGTGCACATACCAGTGTGCTATTTGCTTTGCTGGCCAATATGTGATTTAGACTGCATCCTATCTCTTCCTCTGCCCTCGGAATGTCTCCTGAGCAGCAGTGCTGGCCTGTGTTGTATTTGTTAAGAGTTAGAAGTACAATTTTATTCCAGTTTGGCAGTGAAACTGATGGAGTTAGGGAAAAATACCTTGTGTCTTCTTCTCGCCCCTTGTGATCCCTGAATGGACTAAACACAATTCTATATTAAGGATGTTAGACACAATCTTATTTAGGGCATATTTTGTGGTTACTATTGCTTTATCTAGTGGGCCTCTTGCCAAGACCTCTATTTAGACATGAATTGGAATACTTACCTTTTGTTCTTCAGTTTGCTTTGTTTTCTCAATTAGATTAATCTTGTTTTATTTGCAATAATTGGGCTTCCTGGGATAAGTGCTGCAAGCTGTTCTCAGAGAGAACAAAAACAAGACTCAGGGTTGAGAGCATCTGGAATAGAGATGGAGGCATTAGCTGAATCCCTACCATCATTGTCCTCATACTGAATTATAGGGTCATCAGGGGAACAGGAGGGATGGGGATAGGGTGGATAGTTCCTTGACTTTAATATATTATGTTCTGATGCTTTTAAATCTCTCATTCTACTTTTCTTCCTAACGTACATATTTTTTTTATTTTTGGGAGTAGCAAGCAGTACACAATATCAGTATGCAGTATATTCCAGTATATACTGAATACTGAAATAGTCATGCACAGGTAAGAGAAAGGAGTTGATATGGGGACAGACAACCTCACTCTCTGGTCAAAGGTATTGTATAATAATTCTTTGTCTTTAATTTTTAAACATGTTATAGCCACATATCAGTGGTATTGGACTTTCCAATTTTAATAACATTCAGGGTCAAATTAAATAAAGAGATAAAACTTTTTGATTTGTATGGACTTATACCTGTCTAAACCATTTAGTATGCAGGCATACAGCATTTTGAGTATATGGTGGGGAGGGGTTAAGTTACTGAAGCAAATATATTCAGAAACATGTTCAGAAACATGATGCCTAACTTTGTCCTTTTGTTTTGACTCTGCTACCCAGGGAGCTTATGATAATCTCCTTTTGGACATCCCTGTCACTCGAGAACAGATAAGTCGCTATCGGGCTGCAGCTGAAACCACACGTAGTGAACATGCAGCGCTTCTTGTGAAGTATGAACGCACCCAGTCAGAGGTATGGGAGGAGGTTGAAATTCTAAGAGTTGTGTTCTGTTAATGAGAGTTGTGCATATGCCATGTAGAGGGAGTACATCCACTAAATCTCTCTGTATAGTGTGGATCACTTTCTTATTGTTAATAAGTAAATACAGTATATTACAATTCAAAACAATATTTCAATCTTTTGATTATCTAAGTGGCATTAACATTTATCAGGTTCAGCTCCCCCATACTTTCCTATTGCTTTTAACATGCTCATTTTTCATTTGTATTTGTGAAGGAAGCTTCATAGTTTCATAGTTTCATAGTTGGTAGGGTCGGAAGGGACCTGAGCAGATCATCAAGTCCAACCCCCTGCCATGGCAGGAAAGAGTACTGGGGTCAAACAACCCCAGCAAGGTGTTCATCCAGCCTCCTCTTAAAGACCCCCAGGGTAGGAGCCAGCACCACTTCACTTGGAAGTTGGTTCCAGATCCTAGCCGCCCTGACTGTGAAGTAGCACCTCCTGATGTCTAGTCTGAATGTACCCTCTGCCAGCTTGTGACCATTATTTCTTGTCACTCCTGGTAGCGCTCGGGGGAACAGGGCCTCTTCCAATGCCTGCTGGTCCCTCCTGGCTAGTTTGTAAACAGCCACTGGATCTCCCCTCAGCCTTCTCTTGTGGAGGCTGAACAGGTTCATGTCCCTTAGCTTCTCCTTGTAGGGCCCGCTCTGCTGACCCCTGATCACGCGGATGATCAGGTCCCCTCTGGACCCTCTCCATGTTGTCCACATCCCTCCTGAAGTGTGGCGCCCAGAACTGGATGCAGTACTCCAACTGCGGCCTGACCAGTGTCGCATAGAGGGGGAGGATCACCTCCTTGGACCTGCTTGAGATGCATCTGTGGACGCATGACAAGGTGTGGTTGGCCTTCCTGACCGCATCCCCACACTATCGGCCCATGTTCATTTTGGCATCAGTAATGACTCCAAGATCCTTTCCTGGATCAGCTTAATTGCCATACAGTCTTGCCATACAGATTGCTATCCTTTTTTCCAAATGGGAATTGTCCCATCTTTGTCTCACTGCTTGATTAAACTGAGACAGACGCTTGCCATGTGATAGTACTTTTAATTTATGTGGTTTGTAAACCACATAATGCATTTTACAGTTACGTGTTCTCTCTCACTTTTTAATGTGCCTTAAGATTTACCTGTATGGGACACATAAAATGAAATGAGATCACTTTGCCAGTAAGTGAAATGTTGTTGCCTTTGTCATGTAATCTATAATTTAGCAATTGTTGAATATAGCACAGTAACAATATGTTAGGGTGAGATTACACAGTAGATTTAGTAAGAAGACTATGTAATGTTAGTCTATGTTAAGATTAACTAGTGCTAGTGATTAGTTGCCTATTTGGAGTTAATAGCTTGTCTCATGTACACTGCTCAAAGTTGGTATTAGAGGGCTGATGAGCAGGGGCATGGCTAGGGGTTGCAAGTCTCCTTGCCCCTTTCCTGCCACCCACTTGCCCCTGCCTCCCTTTCCATTGTGGGACCTGCTGGGGGCTCGATCTGGGTGTGCTGGGGCAGTGTGGACTGGAGGGACCCAAGGAGCAGGCAGGGAGGGAGTCCCCTACCTGCACCTCCACTACTCTTGGACTAATCACAGTTGATCTGGGGGTGCAGGGAGCAATGGAGGGCAGAGGGGACAATTCGGGTGGTAGGGGAACGATCTGGGGGTCGGGGGGCAATTTGGGGGGATGAGGGGGCAGCAGCATGGCAAGTACCCATATACCTACACCCCTTTTCCCCCTACCCCCTCCCACTTTTCCCATCCAGTCCTGCCCCCCACCCCTTCTCCATGCCCTGGCTTCCCTACCCCCCTTCACCCCTTTTCCCTCCCTCCCCACTCGCCTATGTCCCAACTGTTCCCAGCTGTCAGTCCAGGGCCATAGAATCCTGGGTGATCGCTAGTCCATCTGGGAGCTGTGGCTCCTGGGATACTGGAGGACTGCAAATTGGTTTTATTTCAGGTGAACACCTAGAATTTAACTCAACTCGTGCTAGGTGGCCCAGCTCAAATATAATCACGACTCAAAATGGAGTAACTTGCCTAAAGGGCACTTAGCACTAGTTAATAGGGGTTTGCGAAGCTTTGGTCACCAATACAGTTCAGAGAAGATATGGCCCAATTTGGCAGCCGAATCCAAATTGAATCTGGAGACCCATAAAAATCTCTGAATCAATTAGAAGCATCCAGATCGATTCAGAAAAAGATTTGGCGATTTGGAAAAGGCGGTCTTGTGGGGAAACAGAAACTGAGAAGAGGGAGGGGGGAGGAGGAGGGGAAAGACTGCTCTGATATTGACATCTGTAGCTGGCTAGTGACTGATCTTTCACTGAGTTTCCTTCCAGTTACAGTGCTCTGACAGGGACATAGAAACAGCATATAAGGCTCTGTGTGAAACCTTTCTGTCCCTTTTGTGAGCTGTTTGTCTGGAAGCAGCAGCATGTGAAAGGTATTAGCTGCAATGGCTGGCTTCCTAGTCAGCCTCCTCACTCTTTTGCTAGTGGCCCTATCTAGTCTCTCTATCTAGTCTTTTCTATCTAGTAAACAGATAGAAGATATAGTAAGCAAATAGAAGAAGATATAGTAAGCAGATAGATGAAGATATAATAAACACACACACATTTTCCAGCACAGCAAACATTATGAAGTTTGTTGGAAAGGCAGGTGCCAGGTCTTCTGGCAGGGGTAGGGAGAGGGGTTAGAGGGGGTAGGGGAGCAAGATCTCCTGCACCCAAACTTAGATGCACCCTCTTCCCTAGCAGCCATGAGGCTTCTGCTGCTAGTGGGAGCAAGGAGCTGGGAGCAAGGAGGTCCCTGCACCTGCACCACCTCCACTAACACCAGAAATAGCCACCAGCACCAGTATGACAGTCTCCCCCACCTCAATTTCAGCTCCCAGCGTGAGCCTCCCAGTGCCAGAGAAGGAGCTGGATCTGGAACTAAGGGAGTTTATTGCCATAGCCAGGGAAATTCTAGGGAAGAAGGGGGAATTTGAGTTCCCCCTTTGAGCTCCACACCCCACGAAGTTCCCCTGCAGGCAGGTCTCTTCCAGAAGGCACTCTGGAGGAGGTTGTGGGGGCAAGTGGCTCAGCTTCCCTTGATGTTGTGCCTCTGCCTGCTGAAGAGGCAGATAAGGCAGCATCGCCACCCTCAACCCAGAAGTGGGGTGGGTAGCGTAGTGTGGGATCATTTTGAGTTGGCAGATGATCCCAGGTATGCAACGTGCCAGCACTGCTAAAGGCAGATCACCTGGGGCAAGGAGGTGAAATACTTCACCACCATGGCAATGCTGCTGCAAGGGTGAGCAAGGTCAACTGGACATTGAGGAGATGCTTGCTTTGAATGGCTAGCCCTTCTCAGTTGGGCATCCCAGGTTCAGGAGGCTCATGGTGCTCGTGGTCCCATCCTACCAAGTGCCCGCATGCACCACCTTTAGCAGGTTGTACCCTCCCTGAATGAGGCATTCAGGGAGTATTTGAGGGTGGAGCTGCGCAAGGTGGGTCTGCAGGTAGCCTTGCATTTCACCTTGGACAGCTGGAGCATCTGGGGTGTAGATCATGCCTAACTCTCCCTCACAGGACACTAGTGAAATCAGTCAGGCCATCGGTAGACTCTCTTTCAAGTGGAGGTGATGGATGGGTTCCACACGGCAAGGGAGATCATGGTGGCCATGAGCTGCATGGTGTAGAGGTGGCTTGTTGGACAAGGCAAGCTCACCCGTGAGTTCATAGTCACCGACAAGGGGGCCAATATGGTCAAGGTGGTCCGTGATGCCAACTTTGTTGGCATCTGCTGTGTAGCGCACCCCTCATAGTCAGCGATGCCTTGGAGGGGGACAGGGCTGCTGGTGATGGCACCGTTATGACTGGCCAGCTCATTTCAAGATGCAGGAAGGTGGTGGGCTACTTCCACTGGAGCATCAAGGTGGGCAAGATGCTGTGGAATGAACAGACAGAGCTGAGCATCCCGCAGCACAAAATCATGCAGGATGTGCAGACTCGGTGGAACTCCATATACCTGATGCTCAAAAGGCTGGTGGAGCAACAGAAGGTCATCCATGAGATGGCCTTGCTCGGGGAGATTGGGATCAGCGGCCCACTTAAAGCAGAGTGGGTTACCATCTCCCAGATCTTGGTGGTCCTTAAGCCATTTCCTTGAGGCCACTGAGACCCTCAGCACTAGCGATGCCCTTCTTAGCCAGATGATCCCCATAGTGAGGGAGCTTGAGAACCAAATGGAGAAGTTCCAGGGGATCAGTGTTCCTGGCTGGTGTGTCGCTGTCACCACAGGTGCAGGCACTGGTGAAGCAGCTGAAGGAGGGCATCAAAAAACAGGTGGATCCGTTGCGGTCCAGTATGGTTCACATGCTGGTGTCCATGTGCGATCCAAGGGTGAAGGGCAGCGTGTGCGCCAGCAAAACCCTTGATCATTGGACAGAGGTGCTGGTGAACAGAGTCAGGGAGGCAGAAGGGCAGAGGTGGGGGGATGTGGAAGAGGGCGATCCACTTTCTCGTGCCAGCACTGCCAGCAGCAGCCTGTCTCCTCCATGACAGGTGCTGACAATGTGGGCCAAGGGCATGGCTTTCCATGTTGGGGTCCAGAGGCACCAGATGCCAGCCTGGGGCAGGTAGCATGGAGGCTTCGGTGGTTACTTATCTTGCCGAGGATGTGAAGCCACTGGACTGCGACCCCTTGATCTATTGGGCAACCTGCAGCCAGATGTGGCAGGATCTGGCCACGGATGCCTGGGAACCCCTGTCCTGTTTACCGGCCAGTGTTCCAAGTGAGAGGGTATTCAGCATTGCTGGGGATGTTGTGACACCCCCCCCCCCCCCAACCTTGGATCCTTGTTTGGTGGAGCAGCAGGTGTTCCTGAAGGTGAATCTCCCACTGCTGGAGTTCCCCAAGCTCCACCTGCAGATGGAGTAAGTGCCACCCTCCTCACTACGCACCTATTAGCT